CGCCCTTCCCTCAGCGTGCTGCTGCACTGGAAGAAGGTGTCGGCCACGCAGCTGGACATGGCAGTCGAGCTCAAGACCAGCAGCGGCGCCAGCAACGGGTGGTTCGCGCTCGGCTGGGCCAACGGGGGCTCCATGGCTCCCTCCGACGCAGTCATAGGCAACAGGGCGGGCGGCCTTGTCAGCCCGTACCGCATCACAGGCTACACTATGAGCTCGTTACAGGGCGCCTCGTTTAGCATTGGCAGCAGCGCGGGGACTGTGACGTCCGCCACCGGCTCCACAGTGATCCAGTAAGTATAATCAGCGAGCTTCCGTGCCTCCCTCCCACATATCTTCAGCATATGACATATTTCACCTCTATATTCATGCCATCCTGTACATCCAGCCATCACGTTTATTCGTCGTACCCAGACTAACGAAATGCCTTATCCCCCCTTTGCTTGGTGGCCAATCAGGTTCTCGCGCACAACTGGCACGGGGTCCATTCCCATCAAGATGAGTGGCGTCAGCCGTCTCATCTGGGCTCACTCCAACTCCAACTCCAAGACCCTTGCTTTCCACGGCGGTGCTGAGTGAGTGTCCCAAACGCTGGCTCTCCAATACCCTTACTTTTACGTCAAGACCCCTCTGTGCATCCCGACTTCAACTCTTCAAACCCTTCTTACTGCAGTTACCGACGCCCTCTCTCTCTTCGTGAATGCTCTCCAGCGTCCTCTTCCATCCAGTAGCTTCCTCCCCTGTCTGAAGCGCACCCGCCTCCCTCACCCCCCACTCACTCCTCCACAGCTGCCGAATGTCAGTGGGCTTGGTGTCCCAGTGTCTCTCCATCATCTCACCACCCTTACTTTCTCTCCCCCTCTCCCCTCCCCCTGTCCCTCGCCCCCTTGTTCCATCACAGTGGTAGCATGTCAGTGGACTTTTCCTGCGCCACTGCCCCGTCGTCCGGCGGCGGCGGGGGCGATGATAATGGCGAGGGGGGTGATGACTGGGGGAGGGTGGTGGTTCAGGTAGCGGTGGGGCTTTCCTCTCGCAGCTCATCGCTTGGCTTGGCTCGCTCTTCGGCTTCCGCAAGTAGAGGGCATACGCTGCACAGCACAGTGCAGCACACACCACACAATGCTCACTGGGAGTTGTGCATGGTGGATATGAGTTGGTGGTGGTGGCGATTATCAGGAGGGTTGAGAAGGGGAGGTGTGAGTCTAGTAGTGTAGACGTAAGTAGCAGGCTGGACCACAGGCATCTTTTGGAGTTGTGTGTGCGAGAGGCTCCACTGCACAGCACAGCCTAAAAGATGGTTGTGATGCCTTGCCCTGTATGCCATAGATGAGTTGCACTGTTTGCTGGTTTCCAACCGTGATGTATAAGTTTTATTTGTAAAAGGGCCGTTAAAATGTAGAAGGATGGCAAGATGAAGGGCTCATATGCAATCATAGGGAAGATGCCAGTTGATGCACATGTAAAAACCAAAGTTACAGACCATGTAGGTAGTCATTGGTTGCAGCCGTGCCCCATTTGCAGTCACGGTGTAGTACTACTGTCAGGTGAGTTCACAGGTCTGTTCTCAATAATACGGTAGCAGGTTATGCCATGTCCACCCAAAAGAAAGGAAACATACATTTGGAAGTGGAATACGACATAAATTGATTTTGACATGGATGAATGGGTTGCTGTTTTCTATGCGATGCCTGTACGGAGGAATTCTTTCAAGCTTCATGCGCAAGGTTGTTTGGCAAATTGGCACGCTCATGTTGATGTTCGTGGTCCATAGACCCTGGGAAAACAGGCTCGGCAATAGAAGACAACCGCCGAACTTCCATACACGAGCCAGAGTGCCAGCGCGGCAAAGGAGCAGCATGGCAATTACGGTAAGGCACATGCTGGTTCTGTTCCCCACCTGTTCAACGAGATAAAAAAAGTCGTTTTCATTCGACGACGAAATCCAAGATGGAATAACCGGGTTTCGTCAACACCCTGGTCACAAGACCAGACCAGCCAATGTAATGGCTTGACGAACGCAAACCACGCGCATTCCACAACCGAGCCGCACCTGTCGGTGACAAGCCCAAAACGTGAGCCAATAGAAAGTGGACAGGTGGTTTGTGTTCCCCCCTCTCAAGACAACCTGTCCACTTCGCCGAACCTCGATCTTCAAACCAGCCAGCTTTCCCAAGCAAACACCAAGAGGCAAAAAATCGCGCGTCGCCGGGACGCGCAAGCAAGCAACCAAGCATTGCAATTTCTGGTGGCGACGGCGATTTTGAATTGCTGCGTTGTTCCTCACAATTGGGGCGCTGCTTTCTCAGCCATTACATTTCCAGCCATTATATTTCCCAAGTTCCCGACCCAACCCAACCCAATCATCCACTCAACCCCCTGGCCCTTCCTCGCCATCATCTCCGCCTCCCTCATATCCAGCCGTCCCTGCTGCTCACCCTCCTCCTCTCCCACCCGTGAATCTCTCACTCCTACATAAACCAGAACAAACCAGATCCTCCACGAGATTTACGACTCTCCCTGGGAGGCAGGCCAGTGTCACTCCGAGTGCCCAGACTTCCCAAAACTTCTGACTCGGAGTCACAGCTTTCGCTCCACCTCCCTCCCCACGTCCGTCGCCCATTCAAGCCGAGCTAGTAGCTCATCCCACCCCGTCTCACCGCACTCCAACCCACCCCACCGCTCATCCCACCCCGCCTCAGTCCCGCATTTTCCCCTCGCCATGGCCGTCAAGGCGCGCGAGCCGCGCGGCACGAGGCTCATGCGCCTCTGCGTCGCGGTCCTCTTTATCGCCACGGTGCTCGACGGCGGCGCGGCGGGCGCCGCCAGCGGCGGCGCACCGTCGCCGTTCCCGCAGAAGTCCCAAGGCCTCCTCAACCGTCACAACGCGTGGCGCCTGAAACACTCGCGCAAGCCGCCTACTGGCGCCGCCGCTGGTGCTACAGCCGGCGGCGCCGCTGCTACAGCCGCCAAAGCCGGAACGAAGACGCTGGTGACGCCTGCCGCGACGAGCACGTGCCAAACGTCGACGCTCGCAGGATACACGAGCTCCATGGACCTCTCGGGCAACGGGTGAGAACTTTATTGGAAAGGATAGTATAGAGAAGATCTCGGAGATCTTTCCGACATTCCGTCGTGTTCCATCGCGTTTCGCACTCCCCCTAATGCACGTCGTCCTCTAAGTGACTCAGTAGTTCTATTCTAATACATTTCGCCTGGCGCTCATCCGTCTCTAGTTACCCTTGCGAAACGTCGCCCCTTTTTCGCCATTTCCCCCAGGCTGGTCCTCCACTGGAAGAAGTCAACGGGGTCAACGATCGACCTGGCCCTGGAAGCCAAGTCAACGAGCGGCGCGGCGAGCGGGTGGTTCTCCGTGGCGTGGACCAACGGGGGCATGTTTAACTCGGACGCCGTCATCGGGAACATAGCGACGGGGACCAGCGTCGGCACGTACGCGATATCTAGCTACTCGAGCGTGGTTACCACGTCGCGGTTCGCTATAACCGCCGCGAGTGTTACAAGGTCGGGCGGGAGCACGATCGCGAAGTTCACGCGATCGACGGGCGACGGGACCGTGGCGGTGAACGTGGCGGGGAGCAACAAGCTCGTGTGGGCCTTCTCGTCTGGCGGCTCCAAGACCGTCGCCAACCACGGCGGCAGCCACAGGTGCCTCGTTGTCGCCCCCCTCCCCCACCCCCCCCCCTCGTCGCAAATTGAACCCCGTCCCTCGAGTTGCAATGCTCCAGGCCCCTCTTAGCGCCTCACTCACCTTGTCTCTCTCTCCCCTTCGCCGCTCTGTCGCTATTTCCGTGCCTCCAGAGGCGCAAAGACCATTGACTTCTCTTGTGACGGAACAGCCTCGGGCTCAGGCTCGGGAACCGGCTTGGGAACTGGCTCGGGAACAGGCACGGGAACAAGCTCGGGCACTGGAGCAGGGACGTGCACGGGCAACACGGGCGTGAGCGGCACTGCATGTCCCGCGTCCACTCTCTGCGGCTACTCCTACCAGGCCCAAATCAAATCCGGGTACGCGGATGCAGAGCCCTTTGTCTAGTCACCCACGCCTCCCCAACCCCCCCTCCCAACCACTGCTCACATTGCTCGCCGCTCTGACTGCTAGCGTCTTCTTTTGCCTTGATTTGCCTCTTCCTCGTGTTCTGAGTCCGTCCTCTCCCCTTCCCTCTTCCCCCTTCCCCCTTCTCCCTTCCCTCAGCGTGCTGCTGCATTGGAAGAAGGTGTCGGCCACGCAGTTGGACATGGCTGTCGAGCTCAAGACCAGCAGCGGCGCCAGCAACGGGTGGTTCGCGCTCGGCTGGGCCAACGGGGGCTCCATGGCTCCCTCCGACGCAGTCATCGGCAACAGGGCGGGCGGGATTGTGAGCCCATACCGAATCACAGGCTACACTATGAATTCGTTACAGGGCGCCTCGTTTAGCATTGGCAGTGGTGCGGGACTGTGAAGTCCGCTACTGGCTCCACCACAGTAATCCAGTAAGTATCGGGCTCTGTGCTGTGCATATGACATGGTCACCTCTATGTCTAGACATGTTTTCTCACATACTTTCCTTGCTTGTTGGTCAACCAGGTTCTCGCGCACAACTGGCACGGGGTCCATTCCCATCAAGATGAGTGGCGTCAGCCATCTCATCTGGGCTCACTCCAACTCCAACTCCAAGACCCTTGCGTTCCACAGCGGTGCAGAGTGAGTGTCCAACGCTGGATCTGATCGCCAGTGTCAAGTCCCCTCTGTATTCCTCTTGCGCTAGTTCTCCCGAAACATCCTCTCAACTCTTGCCTATTCCTTCACTCGTTTCGTCAATGCGCTTTATCCTCCTCTTCCCTCTGCACAATCATATCCCCACTCACTCTTTCACACTGTCTAGATCTCTGTGTAATTCCTGTCCTGCTTTCTCTCCTCCATCTCACAACCCTCTGTTCTCCCTCCTGCCTCTCCCTCCCGCTCTTGTTTCATCGCAGTGGTCGCATGTCTGTGGACTTCTCTTGTGCCATGTCCCCGTCGTCCGTGGACGATGGGGGGTACGATCATGACGGTGATGACCATCATGGGGGGGACGATCATTATGGCGACGGTGATGACTGGCAGCGGGGTGGTGGTTCAGGTTCGGGTTCCAGTGGGGCTTTCCTCTCGCAGCTCATCTCTTGGCTCGGCTTGCTCTTTGGCTTCCGCAAGTGGTGTCAAACATGTGTATTTGTCATGTTTGTATAGACTGTATAGGATCGCCTCTAAGAGAGTACAACACTTAGGTATATCTGTGTGTACTCTCACTCTATCCATCATTCACTTCTCAATTTTGATATGGTATCACGCGTAGGTAGGATCCCCCCCACCTACCGCTTCCGCTCACCCCTCTAGCCCCTAGCCCCGTCGCGACCCCCTAGCCCCGTCGCGCCCCATCCTGGGCCCTGTAGCGCCCCTTCTGGGCCCCGTCGCACCCCTCACTGGGCCCCGTCGCGCCCCTCCCAGGCCACGTCGCGCCCCTCCTAGGCCCTGTAGCGCCCCTCCTGGGCCTCGTCGCGCCCCTCCTGGGCTCCGTAGCGCCCCTCCTGGGCCCCGTCGCGCCCCTCCTGGGCCCCGTAGCGCCCCTCCTGGGCCCCGTCGCGCCCTTCCTGGGCCCTGTAGCGCCCCTCCTGGGCCCCGTCGCGCCCCTCCCAGGCCCCGCGGCCCCTCCTGGGCTTCGTAGGCCCCTCCTGGGCCCCCGTCGCCTTGGCCCGTCGCGCCCCCCCCCTCCGCCCCCCGCCCGCGCCCCCTCCCCCCGCCCCTCCGGGTCGTGCCCCCTCCTGGCCCCGTCGCGCCCCTCCTGGGCCCCTGTAGCGCCCCTCCTGGGCCCCCCCCGTCGTGCCCCTCCTGGGCCCCGTAGCGCCCCTCCTGGGCCTCGCCGCGCCCCTCCTGGGCTTCGTAGCGCCCCTTCTGGACCCCGTCACGCCTTAAGGCCCTGTCGCGCTCGCCCGGCCCCGTCACCCCAGCCCGGCCCCGTCGCACCAGCCCGGCCTCGTTGCACCAGCCCGGCCCCGTCACGCCTGCCCGGCCCCGTTGCACCCGCCCGGCCCCGTCGCCCCCTGCACGGCCCCGTCGCAGCCGCCCGGCCCCGTCGCACCCGTCCGGCCCCGTCGCGCCCGCCCAGCCCCGGTGCGCCCCTCCTGGGCCACCGTCTTGCTCGCCCGGCCCCGTCGCACCGGCCCGGCCCCGTCGCACCCTGCCCGGCCCCGTCGCACCCGCCCGGCCCCGTCACGCCCGCCCGGCCCCGTCGCGCCCGCCCGGCCCCGTCGCGCCCGCCCGGCCCCGTCGCCCCCGCCCGGCCCCGTTGCACCGGCCCGGCCCCTGCCTCGTCCCTGCCCCGGCCCCGGTCCTCCTCACTGGTACGGTTCCCCCCCCCCCCCCGCCCTGCACTGCCCTGCACCGTACTGCCCCGCACTGCACCGCCCCGCACCACCCTGTCCTGCCTGGCACCGCACTGCGCCGCCCTACACCGCACTGCACCGCACTGCATCGCACTGTCCTGCACGGCACCGCACTCCACCTTGCTGCACTGCCCTGCACCGCACTGCACTGTTCCTGATGGCGGCGGAGCTTCGCTTCGACGCTGAAGGCCAGCCTCTGGAGTTCGAGGCGTGGCTTGCCGACCTCCGTCGCCAACTCACTGGCCAGCGGCAGGATGGTGAACCGCTCTCCGCACACCTTGACAATACGCTCCCCTGCCCAATCCCCACTGCTATTCTGCCCGCTGACTCCACACCCACTGAGCGTGAGTCCACTGCTGCCACTGCCCGTGCGCGCTCTGTCTGGCTTTCTTGAGATGCTGTCGCTCAGCTTGCCATCAGCAACGCCCTTCCCCCGTCCGAGCGCCCTCGCTTTAGGTCTCTCACCACTGCTCAGGCATACTTAGATGCTGTCATCAAGCGCTATTCCACCCCTCCGGCTGCCTCGGTGGGTCGCCTAATCCTCCCGATGCTCTTTCCTGCCCTTGCATCTTTCCCCACTGTCTCTGACCTCGCTGCCCACCTGCGCTCGATAGATGAGACCTGGCGCGCTGCCTGCACTGACGCACAGCTTAGAGCCCACCAGCCGCCCATTACCTCTACCCTTTACCTGCTTGCCACCCGCCTCCCTGACCGCCTTGCTGTCGCCCGCGACCGCTTCCTTAGCATTCACCCCGCAGACCTCACCCTCACCGACTTTGTAGACACCCTGACTGTGATAGAGACCCGTTACCGCTCCATCGCCCAGACGAGCGGTGTCGTGCCGGTCCCTATCTTTCAGGGTTGTGCCCCCGCCCAGTGTACCTTCTCCGACGGCTCTGCCGCAGTGGCTGAGACTGCTGTTGCAGCGCAGTTTCGTTCGGGGAAGGGCCGCCGCCCCAAGGTTGGGCGCGGCGGCGGCGGCGGGGGTGCGGGAGGGGGAAGTGGTGGGGTCGGGTCGTCTGGTGCTGGAGCGGACAAGGGGGCCCTGCCCACTCCAGCTGAGCCGCCGCCCCTGCAGTTGCAGCAGCCGCAGCAGCCGCCGCAGTCGCAGCCTTCGCAGCAGCCGCAGCAGCCGTCGCAGCCGCGGCAGACGAGTGTCCTCCCACCCGGGTGGCCCGGCGCTGGCGGTGGCCGGGCGCGTGGTGGTGTGCCGAGTGGTGGCTCTGGCGGCGGGCGTTGTCACTACCAGATCCAGACCGGTCCTCGCCGCGACTTCGTTTGCGGTAAGATCGGTCACTCCACTCACCGCTGTTTTCGCCGCCTGGACGACCTGTTTCGTCAGCGCTTCGGCCCGTCGCCAGACCTCCCGGACTGGCACAGTTTGCTTAGACGTAGTATTCCGATTTTTGACTTGGACATGGATGCCATTGTTTCTGCTCTGCATGTGATGTATGCTGATGACTCTAGTGTGCTTCCCGCTTATTACTCACTGTTGCCTAGTGTAGGTGTGCCTAGCTTAGCCTCCCCTGCTGCGTCAGGCGTAGGATCCCCTGCTTTGTGTAGTCTTGGTGCTTCCGCCGTCGTTCCGTTGCCAGACGCCTCTGCTTCGGTTTCCTTCACCTTGGACTCTGGCGCTTCTCGGTCTTTCTTCCGCGACTCCACCACCCTGACGCCGCTTCCTGTCCCAGCTGCTGTCTCTCTTGCTGACCCCTCCGGCGGTCCGGCCGTCGCCCGCAGTTCCACCACCCTTCCCTGTCCGGCGGTTCCTTCGGGCTCTCTTACAGGTCTGCATATCCCCTCGTTCTCCAGGAACCTAGTTGGTGTCGGCTGCCTCCAGGACCTTGGCGTCACCACTACGTTCCCTGGTCACGAGCGGTATGCTGTCTGTACCGAGGCCGCCACTGGTGCCCCCCTGTCCACGTTCCCCCGGGACCCGGTGTCCGGCCTGTTCACTCTGGACACCGTGACCCCCCCGGCTGGGGCGCCTCCTCAGGTGGCTGCGTCTACCCAGGTTGCTGCTGCCTGCTCCTGTCGGTCCCTCACTCACCCGACTCTCCTTTGGCACCACCGCCTAGGTCACCCTGCGCTCCCGCGTCTGCGTCACATGTCCCAGCACGGTCTTGTCCTTGGTCTCCCAGGTTCTCTCCCCGCGTTTCCCTCCTCCCCAGCCCCACCTTTCACGCCTTGTGTTGAGGGTCGGCTTCGCCGTGCCCCGCACTCCTCCTCGTTTCCCCCTACCGCCGCGCCGCTGCAGACCCTGCACCTGGACGTCTGGGGCCCCGCCCCCGTCCCTGGGCCGCGTCGCGAGCGCTACTTCCTTGTGCTTGTCGACGAATTTACTCGTTACACCACAGTCTTTCCCCTGGAGCGCAAGGCCGACGTGCCTGGCGCTCTCATCCCCTGGCTTGTCTCTACGCGTGTCCACCGCGGTCTCCCTGTCTTGCGTTTTCACTCCGACCGTGGTGGCGAGTTTGCCTCAGGTGTCCTTGGTCGCTTTTGTCGTGCGGAGGGCATCACCCAGACGTTCACCCTACCGGACTCCCCACAGCAGAATGGGGTCGCTGAGCGACGCATCGGTTTGGTCATGGAGGTGGCTCGCACCTCCATGATCCATGCCGGTGCACCCCATTTTCTGTGGCCGTTCGCTGTGCGCTACGCTTCTCACCAGCTTAACTTGTGGCCGCACCCTCAGCAGCCGCAGGTTTCGCCAACTCGTCTTTGGACTGGGTCTCCTGGTGACGCGTCTGCGTTCCACGTCTGGGGCTGCCTTGCTCACGTCCGTGCCTCCGGCACGGACAAGCTCACTGCCCGCACCCTTCCCTGTGTCTTCCTCGGTTTTCCCCTTGACGCCTCCGACTGGCACTTTTACCACCCGCCGTCTCACCGCTTCTTTCACTCTCGTGACGTCACATTTGTGTTGTGTGATGTCATCATATGTTATCACATTCTGTCTGCCTCCCATCCCTTGTTTCAATTCGCACGTATGGTGTGACTGTGTGTGAAAGAATTTGTGTGGTGTGTGTTCTGGAGTTTGGGAATGTGTTTTGTGTTATTTTGTTTGAGCAGGTATTTGTGACGATAGATCTTGAGAAGATCTTTCCGACACAACAAGAATCGCTTCAATCGGAGCAAGAACGCGAAAGCTATGAAGATTCAAAGTTCATGAGCTTGCGTTACAATTGCGGCGGTTACAAAATGAAGTTGTGGGGTGACTCAATATGGAGTTGGGACCTTTGGGGTTGGGAAATTCGTCACTCTACTGTAACAGCTGCAAATTGGTTGGGAACAACCAAGCTAGGTTGGCAAGGATGGCCAACTTGGATGGATTGGTTGGGAAGGGACAAATGTCAAAGTTGGGGTTCCTATAGGGGGGGGAATCTTTGTGCTTATGGGGTTTCCTTGGTTGGGGACTCTCTTGGGACCTTCTCTCTCATCCCTCTCTTCCATCCCAACCTTTTTCTTGCTCCTCTAATTTTCCTTGTGAGATTCTTGAACTTTGATTGAACTTTTGAGATTGAGTTAAGTTCTCCTCCTACAGCTTACCCCTCAGTGCGTCGAAAGACATAGCTTCGCGAATACTTCATCAATCGACGTGATTCAAATTGAGAACGGTAGCTAAGATTGAGAGCTACAACATATCCGAGTTTCGCGACATTCCAACGGCTATTTTTACGTCGACGTTGTTTCTTGTGAAGACGACTTTTCTGTCCAGAATTTGGATATATATTTTGAGTAATTCTAGCTCCTAAGTTCACCTAGACTCTGTCCTTAATCCTAACACTTTGAGGAGTCCGTCTCCTACTACCATCGCTTCCCCCACCGTGGTCCCCCGGTTACCCCCCCCCTGTTCCTGGTCACTCCTTCCCCGGTAGTACCTGCCCCTCCTCCTCCTCCTCCCCGTCTCGCCCCCTCTGGTGTGTCCCAGGTCTCCCCCCTTCCGTCGGTGGACCCGTTTGAGGAGTCTTCTGACTCTGGTGGCCCTCCTGTTCAGTCCTCGCCGGCCGCCCCTCCCCTGGCGTCCCCTTCCCAGTCCCCCCCTCCACCGCCTCTGCCGCCGCTGCAGCCGTCGTTCTCGCTGCCGCCGCCGCCGTCGCCGCCGCCGTCGCAACACCCGTTCGCTGACTCTGGGGGTGCTCGTCCCGGTAGCCCTAGGGGTGGTCCCTCTGGGGGTGCTGGTGTGGAGAGTGCCGGTGGTAGCCGAGGAGCAGCTTGCGGTCCCTGTGTCGCCGTTGTGCCGCCGCAGCAGCAGTCCCCGCCGGTGTGAGCCCTTCGCCTGCTCGGCCTTCCGTCCCCCGACCCTGCGTCGGTTCCTCCCCGGCCGTCTCCTCCTCTTCCTGTCTACGGCCCTGTCTTCCCTCCGCCGGACTCGTCCCCGGCCCGTCTCCCCCCTCGTTCCCCTCCTGTGTCCCCTCCTCTGTTTCCGGACCCGACTCCTCCGTTGCACGTCTGGTCTCACCGTCCCTCCCGTGCTCGTCCTACCTCGCCTGTCTTGCGCTCCCACCCTATGTTGTTTCGTTCCCATGCGTCTCGTCCTCCCCTTCTGCCGTCGCCTCCTCCGTCCTCCCTTGTTGTTGCACCCCCCCCGCTGTCTGACTACCTTCGTGCCGCTCGTCCTCTTGTTCCTCGGGTCCTTGCCTCTCTCGTTACCGACCCGTCTGTTCCGGTCTCGTGCCTTGACGCTCTTGTCGCTGCGGTCGCTGACTTCGCCTCTACCTGCCGCCTTGACTACGCCACCGCTGTGGTCTCTGACCCTGCCTGTCCTCCGTCTGTCGGGGGTGCTCCTGCCCTGGGCAGTGACGTCCTGGAGGACCGCCAGTTCGAGCTTGCTTTCCTGTCCGAGGCTGCTCCCCATCTCTGTTCAATGCTGCTAGTCCCTGAGGGTGACCCAGACGCTTTCGACATCCCGACCCCTCGCACTTACGCTGAGGCGACCTCGGGACCTTGGGCCTCTCAGTGGATAGCTGCCATGGAGCAGGAGATGGCATCTTGGAGATCCACCGGCACCTTCGTCGACGCAGTTCCCCCACCTGGGGTGAACGTAGTCGATGGCCGCTGGCTCTTCAAGGTGAAGCGCCCTCCTAGAGAGCCGCCTGTGTTCAAGGCGCGCTACGTGGCTAGAGGCTTCAGTCAGCGTGAGGGGGTGGACTTCTTCCAGACCTTCGCTCCGACCCCGAAGATGACTACTCTTTGGGTTCTGTTACACCTAGCTGCTCAGCGTGACTACGAGCTTCACTCCCTCGACTTCTCCACTGCCTTCCTTCAGGGCAGCCTACACGAGCAGGTCTACTTGCGTCGCCCTCAGGGCATTACTGGCACCTTCCCTCCTGGGACCCAGTTGCTCATGCGGCGCCTCGTCTACGGCCTGCGCCAGGCTCCCCGTGAGTGGCACGATACTCTCCGTGCTACTCTTGCTGACCTGCAGTTCTTTCCGTCTTCCGCAGACCCCTCACTCTTCGTTCGTGCTGGCCAGACTCCGTTCTACATCCTTGTTTACGTCGAAGACCTGGTCTTTGCCACAGCAGACAGGGACGCACTAGCCTCCGTGAAGGCAGAGCTGCTAAAGAGACACACCCCGCGACCGTCCCAGCCGGCCCCGCGCCCGTTCCAGCCGGCCCCGCGCCCGTCCCTGCCGGTCTCGCGCCCGTCCGAGCCGGCTCCCGCGCTTGTCCCGGCCAGCCCCGCGTCAACTTCCGGCCCTTCCTCGCCTGCCCTACGACTGTCCGATCTGCACTCTCCCTGGTACGGTTCCCCACCACCTTTCACCGCACTGTACCGCACTGCACCGCACCGCATTGCACTACGCTGCACCGCACTGCACCGCCCTGCACCGCATTGCACTACGCTGCACCGCACTGCATCGCCCTGCATCGCCCTGCACCGCACTGCACTGCCCTGCTCTGCAATGCACCGCAGTGCACCGCACTGTACCGTCCTGCACTGCCCCTGATGGCGGCGGAGCATCGCTTCGACGCTGAAGGCCAGCCTCTGGAGTTCGAGGCGTGGCTTGCCGACCTCCGGCGTCAACTCACTGGCCAGCGGCAGGATGGTGAATCGCTTTCCGCACACCTTGACAGTACGCTCCCCTGCCCAGACCCCCCTGCTGTTCTACCCGCTGACTCCGCACCCACTGACCGCGAGTCTACTGCTACCACTGCCCGTGCGCGCTCTGTCTGGATTTCTCGAGATGCTGTCGCTCAGCTTGCCATTAGCAATGCCCTTCCCCCGTCCGAGCGCCCCCGCTTTAGGTCCCTCACTACTGCCCAGGCTTACTTAGATGCTGTCATCAAGCGCTATTCCACCCCTCCGGCTGCCTCGGTGGGTCGCCTGATCCTCCCGATGCTCTTTCCTGACCTTTCACCCCGCAGACCTCACCCTCACTGACTTTGTAGACACCCTGACTGTGATTGAGACCCGCCACCGCTCCAACGCCCAGGCGAGCGGTACCGTGCCGGTCCCTATCTTTCAGGGTTGTGCCCCCGCTCAGTGTACTTTCTCCGACGGCTCTGCCGCTGTGGCTGAGACTGCTGCTGCAGCGTAGTTTCGTTCGGGGAAGGGCCACTGCCCCAAGGTTGGGCGCGGCGGAGGAGGCGGGGGTGCGGGAGGGGGTGGTGGTGGAGTCGGGTCGTCTGGTGCTGGAGCGGACGAGGGGACCCTACCCATTCCAGCTGAGCCGCCGCCCCTGCAGTCGCAGAAGCAGCAGCAGCAGCCGGAGCAGCCGCCGCAGTCGCAGCAGCCGCAGCCTTCGCAGCAGCCGCCGCAGACGCGGCAGACAAGTGTCCTCCCGCCTGGGTGGCCCGGCGCTGTCGGTGGTCGGGCGCATGGTGGTGTGCCGAGTGGTGGTTCTAGAGGCGTGCGTTGTCAGTACCAGATCCAGACCGGTCCTCGCCGCGGCTTCGTTTGCGGTAAGATCGGTCACTCCACTCCCCGCTGTTTTCGTCGCCTGGACGACCTGTTTCGTCAGCGCTTCGGCCCGTCGCCAGACCTCCCGGCCTGGCACAGTTTGCTTAGTCGTAAGATTCAGATTTTTGACATGGACATGGATGCCATTGTTTCTGCTCTGCATGTGATGTATGCTGATGACTCTAGTGTGCTTCCCGCTTATTACTCACTGTCGGATAGTGTAGGTGTGCCTAGCTTAGCCTCCCCTGCTGCGTCAGGCGTAGGATCCCCTGCTTTGTGTAGTCTTGGTGCTTCCGACGTCGTTCCGTCGCCAGACGCCTCTGCTTCGCTTTCCTTCACCTTGGACTCTGGTGCTTCCCGGTGTTTCTTCCGCGACTTCACCACACTGACGCCGCTTCCTGTTCCTGCTGCCGTTTCTCTTGCTGACCCCTCCGGCGGTCCGGTAGTCGCCCGTAGTTCCACCACCCTTCCCTGTCCGGCGGTTCCTTCGGGCACTCTCACAGGTCTGCATATCCCCTCGTTCTCCAGGAACCTGGTTGGTGTCGGCTGCCTCCAGGACCTTGGCGTCACCACTACGTTCCCTGGTCACGAGCGGTATGCTGTCTGTACCGAGGCCGCCACGGGTGCCCCCCTGTCCACGTTCCCCCGGGACCCGGTGTCCGGCCTGTTCACTCTGGACACCGTGACCCCCCCGGCTGGAGCGCTCCCTCAGGTGGCTGCGTCTACCCAAGTTGCTGCTGCCTGCTCCTGTCGGTCCCTCACTCACCCGACTCTCCTTTGGCACCACCGCCTAGGTCACCCTGCGCTCCCGCGTCTGCGTCACATGTCCCAGCACGGTCTTGTCCTTGGTCTCCCAGGTTCTCTCCCCGCGTTTCCCTCCTCCCCAGCCCCACCTTGCACGCCTTGTGTCGAGGGTCGGCTTCGCAGTGCCCCTCACTCCTCTTCATTTCCCCCTACCGCCGCGCCGCTGCAGACCCTGCACATGGACGTCTGGGGCCCCGCCCCCGTCCATGGGCCGCGTCGAGAGCGCTACTTCCTTGTGCTTGTCGACGACTTCACTCGCTACACCACAGTCTTTCCCCTGGAGCGCAAGGTCGACGTGCCTGACGCTCTCATCCCCTGGCTTGTCTCAGCTCGTGTCCACCGCGGTCTCCCTGTCTTGCGTCTCCACTCAGACCGTGGTGGCGAGTTTGCCTCAGGTGTCCTTGGTCGCTTTTGTCGTGCGGAGGGCATCACCCAGACGTTCACCCTGCCGGACTCCCCACAGCAGAATGGGGTCGCTGAGCGACGCATCGGTTTGGTCATGAAGGTCGCTCGCACC